TCTTTGGTTAACAACGTATTCATATATCTCCAGGTTATTACTTTCAAATTCACAGGCAATTAGCACAGGTCTGAAAAGCACTGTGGTGGTCAGGGCGCTGTCTGCTCTGCTGCAGGCCGTTAAGCTAAATTAGCCCTGTTTATCAAGGACGCTCTACAGTTTCAAAGTTCTCAGCTCGAAAAAGAAAAGTTGTTTTGCTTCAATCAGCTTTGCTGAACTTTCCGCTGCGCCTGCTGTTTAGAAAGGACACCATATAGGTCAAAGAACTAGCTTGGACCAAGTAGTGGAATCTGTAATGCCTCAACAATTAGCAGAGTGATAACTGCATGTCTAAGGCCCAGTCCCCTTTCACCCCTCGCCCCTACTGCTTAGCCCTTAGCCCTCTGTTTTGCAAGTTCTGGGGGCAGGGTGTCCCGATTTTTTTTGAGATAGAAGGGTGGGGCGAAGTGTTGGGGCTACATCACCCTCCAAACGGAGGTTTTTCAGAGACTCCAAACAGAGAGTTATGAGAAAAACAGAAAAACCCATAAGAATGCTGCACAAGAGACCAAAGAAACCCACAAATGTGAGAATTTTCTCTGTTAAAAATTACGATAACCACTGTATGATCTCAGTTTAATGTCATTTTAGTGTATTGTGGTCATTTTCTTCATAACAAGCATAAAAAATTGCTAATATTATGCTAATGTCTCGGTAGCTAGCTAACTAACTTCCCGTTCCACCTTAAATAGTCCAGCAGTTCTGACACCTGAAGCACCAGAATGTAACTGCTGCTCCATTTAAGGTGGAACGGGAAAATTCAAACAAGAATCTGGCGAATATCTGACTTCAGCTTCATATCACTGAAGAATTAGGGGTGGGTGATAATAAATAATTGCCCCCCTCTTTGAAGGCATATGATGCCCTAAATGTAACTAAAGCCCAGCAGTGAGGAGCTGAACTTTACCCTCCTCTGCTGTCACTGCAGACTGGCAGCGTCGCCTACAGAGCAGCGCTGGTAGCTGTTAATGAAGTGATGCTCTTTTTATTTGAGGGTCCCATTTCAGAGGGAAGATTTCAACCACTACCCTGTAACTCAGTTCCAAGGGGTTAGGGTGACACTCGAAAACAAGGGGTAGGGGTAAAAAGAAGAAATGCGATTGGGCCTAAATCTTAGAATTCTTGAGTTGTTAATCTCAAATAGACTTGATTATGTTTTTTGTGATGCTGTATGACTCACTGTTATCTATGAACATGGACTAAAGTACATTAGCAAAGCGATTTACTTCACTTGTTTGGTCATTTTGACAGGTAGCTTTGTTAGCCTTGTGCTACATGTTAGCATTAAATAAATATTAAGTGACTAGCTACTTAATAATGTTAACTTTCCAGCAAAACATGTCACAATTACTTAATAAACATTAGCAGAACATTAGCTCTGGTGCTATTTTGTCCTACTTTGTCATCAGAAGTTACCACAACCAACCAGTGTTGCCAGATTGCTTGTTTCCAGACAATACAATGTTCCAAACCCACCAAAATTACACAGCTAAAAATGCTATCTTAGCATCTTGAATCTATGAGACTGTTGTAAGAATATTATGAGATTATTTAACTCATTTCCAGACATTTTTACTTGATTAAAGTAATTTTATCAAGTGAAACTGTCTTATTTTATTGACAGATAATTTCACTTATTTTAAACATTTTTTATTCATTTTTTATAAGTACAATGATTTGTCATTGGAATGACTCTATAATGAAAGGAAATGACTTAAAACAAGTAAAAATGACTAGAAATAAGTTGAATAATACATAATACAATATCCATACAATGATCTCAAAGTGAGAAATATTAGATAAACATTGACTAGATTTAACCCTTATAAACTCAGGCTTAATACATACTAAGGCTTATTATTCAGTAACTACAGGGACTTCAATGCAAACTGGCCGAGCTGTTCTTCGATTATTGAAGTGTGTAATAAAATGTAAGGGGTTAACTGGTCATTCACCTGGGGTCACTGGATAACACTTACGTCAAGTGACAAGTTTTTGTTGATATTTGGTTGTGTCATAACACTTTCTGGGATTAAATGACATAGCGCATTATGACAGCTGAATTGTTAGTACCATTGTGCCCATTTCATGGTTCGTCTCCTGTTTCTAGCAGCGTCCATTTCACATATAGTTCTTAAAAAAAAATGAAATGGGATATTTTAACCCCTTAAAATCCCAGACTTGGTACATACTATCCATCATTATGGCAGAGCTGTTTATGCTATTGAAGTGTGTAATAAAAACGTGGGACCACCGGTGGGCCCTGGACATGTAAGGGGTTAAGCCCTTAACAATCCAGGTTTATTTCACACTAAGGCCTATTATTCAGTACCTACAGGGACTTCATGCAAACTAATGGAGCTTTTCTTAGGTTATAGTAGTGTATTAAGGGGTTAAACCTTCCCTGCTGTACTTCTTTTGAACGTTGGAGGCTCAAAACCCCAAATAAAAATAGCCTGTTAGCCTTTTCTCGATGTGAGCAAACAAGGACTTCAGTTGTAACAATGAACTTAACTGTAATTGGCTTAAGAAACGTCATCACGTTGAGCAATTTTACCACCTCAAACCCTGAGGGTCTCTATGTGGGTCCACACTTCGTTTTCTCACTCTCATAACTTCAGAACTTGCATATTTACCAAACACAAGCTGCTTACATCATCTCCTGTGGCCTTCAACACCGTAAGCCTCTTAAACACTGAAGCAGCTTTTCCTTTCAGTTCTTATTGTGTTTTGTGGCGCTCAGCAACATTGGAAGAGAGTTCCTTGGATTTATGTAACACGGCAACGTTACGTAAATCTGCTGACTTTTGCCAACTGTTTTGCCAGGACTGCCAACTTTCAGATGTTTATTAGAGTTGTTAGAGTGAGGCTTCAGCAGGCTGGGCTGGGGGGGTGAGGTTCATGGGCTGGATGGTAATGATGTGGTGGTGGTCGGGGGGGTGGGTTGGGGGCTGCGTCCACAACATTTGATTTCATTACATGAATCAATTTAATGTAAAATATACTCTTCAAAAAGGCAGTTCTTCAAGGGTTCTTTTGTAAAGAGAATTTGCATGATTAAAGGGTTCTTTCCATCATAAAAGGGTTCTTCAGACTGATGGAGAATGTGCTGTAGAGGGTTCTATATAGCACCAAACAGTTTTCTATTGTTACAAGCTTGACGTCTTCATCTGCCAGCGTCCCTACAGGATTCTAGTAGTTTCATTAAGCCACAGAACACTCGAGATTGAGGCTGGTAAAGTTGTGTAATGCTAAAAAAACACCTGGTGGTTAATTGGCAACAGCTCAGTAACATGATTGGGTATAAAAGAGCATCTCAAAATAGCAAAGAACTTTTGCTTCTCATCATCTACAGTACATCATATCATTAAAAGATTCAGAGAATCTGGAGAAATCTCTGTATGTAAGGGACGAGGCCAAAAACCAGTATTTGCTGGCTGTGATCTTTGGGCCCTCAGACGGCACTGCATTAAAAACAGACATGATTCTGTAGTGAAAATCACTGCATGGGCTCAGAAACACTTCTGAAAACCACTGTCTGTGAAAACAGTTCATCACTGCATCCACAAATGCAAGTTAAAACTCTAAAACATAAAGAAGACACCATATAGAAACAGGGTCCAGAAACGCTGCCACCTTCTCTGGGCCTGAGCTCATTTAAAATGGACTGAGGGGAAGTGGAAAAGTGTCCTGTGGACCATCAAAATTTGTAATTTTTTTTTGGAAATCATGGACGCTGGGTCCTCTGGGCTAAAGACCACTCACCTTGTTATTAGCACACAGTTCAAAAGCCAGCATCCGTCATGGTATGGGGCCGTGTTAGTGCACATGGCATGGGTGACGTGCACATCTGTGAAGGCAACATATGCTGCCATCCAGACGACGTCTTTTTCAGGGAAGGCCTTGATTATTTCAGCAAGACAATGTTAAACCACATTCTGCATGTATTACACTGTGAACCAGTGAACATATTTGGAGGGTTATGAAATGAAAAATATGATAAAGGAGACCCTGAACTGAAGAGCAGCTGAAATCCTTTATCAAACAAGAACAGGAAAACATTTAACTTTTAAAACTACAGCAGTGTCTCCTCAGTTCTCAAACACTTACAGTGTGTTAAAAGAAGAGGTGATGAAACACAGTGGTAAACAGGCCCCCGTCCCAACTTTTTTGGAACATGTTGTCAGCATTAAATTCAAAATGGGCAAATATTTTTCAAAAAACAATAAAATTTCTCAGTTTCATCATTTCATATGTTGTCTTCGTAGTATTTTCCTTTAAAAATGCTTGATTTGCACATCATTGCACACTATTTTTATTTACATTCTGCACAGCGTCCCAACTATTTTGGAAATGGGTATACATAGTGTATAATTATAATATAATGTGTACTTAAAATCAGATCTGCATACAGAATACCACAATATTCAATCAAATCTATCTATAATGCCGTTTTCATATCCTGATATGACCTCTTTCAAAAGTGCCCCCACAAAACGCCCCCCCACCCCTTCCCCCACCCTAGCCAAAATCTGTACATGCCACTGATTATCAATTAAATAATCTATTTACTTTTGCAACAACCATCCTGCACACTTTCATAATGTGCCCCCCCCCACTTTGGCCCCAGTGTGTAGGTTAGTAGTCCATACATTGAACATATTAGCTGTAGGTTGGGACACTGGGTGCTTATGTGTTAGCAGTTAGCATTAGCCTGTGTGGTATGCAGGTCTGTGAACAGCCCTTTTCTCTTTTCCATGAAAAGCGGCGTGTTTGTGTTAGCAGAGCACATTAGCATGTGCGGTGTGGAGGACGACACAGACACTGGCGTGTTTGTGTGTTAGCGGTTAGCATTAGCTCGTGCGCAGTCTGTGTGTGCGTGTTTGGTATGCAGGGAGCTCCGACCCCCTTGGCTGCTGCCCCAGGCTGGAATCAGGCCTGCTCCTGCGGCCCCGCCCCCCTTCTCCTCCTTCTCCAGGCAGGGAGCGTCGCGTTGCGTTCAGACAGAAACTTCACTCATTCAGCAGATCAGAAACTCTCAGAGACACCTTCATGACCTCTCAGAGATGACCTTTTGACCCCTGGCCTGGACCGGGGCGCTGTCGGAGATGGGGCTTCTCGGCTGTCTGGGTGGATTTTTCAGGAAAGCCAAGGTAAGACGGGCTCTGCTGACATTTAGAGAGAGAGAGAGAGAGACAGAGAGAGCAGTGTCAATTACAGAGAACCGAGAGGAGCTGCTGAAGAGGTTTCCCGCTGTGCGTGAGCTCAGACTGAGATGACTGACAGGTGGATTTGTGATGGTTTAAAAACGTTACTTTTCTCTCACACTTTAAAGACACGAGCACTTTCTCAGAAACACCTGATCATATCACAGAGCAGCTCAACTGAGCTTATACTGAACTAAAACAGCAGCAAACTACACTGTACAGAGAGAGAGAGAGAGAGAGAGAGAGAGAGAGAGAGAGAGAGAGAGAAATAAAGAGATAAAGAGAACGTGGGAGAAAGAGAAACAGAAACAGAGAGAGAAGAGGGGGTAGGGAAAGGAAGATCAAGAGAGATGCACAGAGACAAATAAAGGGAAAGTGGGAGGAAAGAGAATAGGAGAGAGAGGAGAGAGAGATGGATAGAGAGAAAAAGAAATAAAGAGAAAGTGGGAGGAAAGAGAGAATAGGAGAGAGGGAGGGAGGAAAGGAGAGAGCGAGAAAAGAGAAATAAAGAGACAGTGGGAGCAAAGATAGAGAAATAAGACAAAGAAACTGGGAGGAAATAGAGAGAGAGAGTGAGAGTAAGAGACAGAATGGAGAGAGAGAGAAAAAGAGACATTGAAAGAGAGAGAACGAGGGAGAAAAACAGTAAGATGAGAAAGAGTGAGTGATGGGAAGAGAGAGGAGGAGAGAGATGGAGAAGAGAGAGAAAAAAAGAGAGATAGAGAGAGCAAGAAGGAGAGAGAGGAAATGGGGATAGAGAGAGACAGAGATAAACAGAGAGGGGGAGAGAGAGAGAAGAGAAAAAGAAAGAAAGAGACAGAGGAAGAGAGAAAAATAAACAAGGAGAGAGAGAGAGAGAGAGAGAGAGAGACAGAGAGAGAGAGACTGGTTAGTATTATTTCTGCTTTATTTACACTTTATAATTAGTTTATTATTCCATTATTCAAACCTATTATTAGAACTTAATTTATTCATTTATATTTGAATGATAACTCAGTTTAACATGTAGCTACAGCTTTGGCAACACAGGACTCACATACTGTCATGAGAGAGAGAGAGAGAGAGAGAGAGAGAGAGAGAGAAAGAGTGAGAGAGAGAGAGAGAGAGAGAGAGAGAGAAGAGGGAGAGAGGGAGAGAGAGAGGGAGAGAGAGAGAGAGACAGATGGAGAGAGAGAGAGGGAGAAAGAGAGAGAGAGAGAGAGGGAGAGATAGAGATAGAGAGAGAGAGAGAGAGAGAGAGAGGGAGAGAGAGAGAGAGGGAATGTGACCGTTATGACTCTGTGACAGGCTGTATGTGAGCGAGCGAGGGAACGAGCGAGCGAGTGAGAGAGTGAGACGGACATTCCTCCGGCCTGCAGTGGGTGGAGGAATGGTTTGAATGTCGTCCGGCTCGGGCCAAAACTCCGTTACCACGACAACCTTCTTTTAAAAGTAGCTTTGGACCAAACTTCCTGTGCCTCAGCCAATCAGCTGCTCTGGAAAAGCCATGATGTCAGAAAGTCCATGAACACAGCACTCAAACACAGAACCACATTCAGCAGGTCAGAACCAGGGTTCCTTTAAGAATACAGCTCTAATGTACTTACGTATAAAAACATAACTGAGTGTGATCTGTTCATCCTGCACAGCTTCACAGCCTCCACATCATCTAGAGCACTGTAAACAAACATGAAGGAATGTTGATGATCTAGAACCATGAACAGAGCTGTGGAGGATTTTACACCGACTGAGAAAACTGGAGAACATCAAGAATGAAGTTCTAATAAAATTAATACCCAGAATGAAGTTCTAATAAAATTAATATCTAAAAGGAAGTTGTATTAAAATTAGTATCCAGAATGAAGTTCTAATAAAATTCATATCCAGAATGAAGTTCTAATAAAATTCATACCCAGAATGATGTTCTAAATAATATCTAAAAAGAAGTTGTATTAAAATTAGTATCCAGAATAAGTTCTAACAAAACTGAAAATGAAAATGAATTTCCAGAATGAATTTCTAATAAAATTTACATGCAGATTTAGGCTATATTAAAATTAATATCCAGAAATGAATTTTCTTGCAAAAGTGAGTGTCTAATCTTAAGGTAGACAACCTAAAAAGTAAAATGAATCACTGCTTACTCACATAATCACTTCACTCATGTTTAAATATTGAATTTAAAAAATCTAAAAATACATTTTGACAAATATTGCGTAATCTTTAAATCCACATTTTAGAACTAGTTCTTGTATATAAAATATTGGCATGACAAATGATTCCAAACTTTGAACTTTTCAATGCTTGTGTTTATATACAGCACTGGTGAAACGTTTATGCAACTAACTTCATGATGTGAGTTGCCTGCAACACAGTTTTTGTGCAACTTGACAGCCACATGAAGCAACCCAAAAACAATCTATCTGAGTCTGTTATCTGTTGTGTGTGTTAGGCTGGCTTTACACAGTGAAAGTTTAATGCAACTTTAGTTGCTTGAAATGTACATAACTAAACTAAATTGCATTTGAATTGCACAATGTGAAGCATCCTGCAACTCACTTGAAACTCAGGCACAGCAGTTGCAAGCATTTCAGCTTTGTGGAAAATGTTTCATGAAACAGATAAATATATACAAAATATATACATTTAGATAGATAAACGACAAATAGACACAAGGCAATGACAAATAAAGATTTCAAAATGACAATTTTAAAAATCTTATTAAAAAAAGGACATGATGTGCGTTTTTATATCTGCACACATTTGTGTTTATATCTATGTGCATTTAATATCTTAAATACAGTGAGTGTTATCAAAACTTTTAATTAAATCTTTCAGTTATTAAACTGTGCTGGTCTGGTTGCTCCATCTGACTGACTGGTTGCGCCACCTGACTTCTCAGACTAATTTCAAATGAAAAAGGTATCTACTTAGACAGTCTTAGAAAACTTTGACCTTGAACTTAAGTTTATACTTCCATTCTTTTAAATAAATAAACATTATTGTAATAATTTCACATTTTCCTGGTTCGCCTGAGGTCGGAACATCTGACATGGTAAACTGAACCGTTCTAACCACGACTCAAAAATCTAACTTTTTACTAAATCTGTGAAAGGGCTACTGACCTTGGCATTGCACCATGAAGGTCACTTGGGCTCTTCTTTATGATGCAGTAAATGACCCCTCTTTCATAAAAGCACATCAAAATAAAAGTCCTTTGTTTTTGGTTGTGCCGTCTGACATTTGAAGAAGTAAGAACTTGCTTGCTTTTAAAAGTGCCCTGTTTTGCAACATGTTTTTTTTCAAGTTTTCAAAAAATTAAACTACAAAACTATTTTGTTTAGATTTTTATTTAACTAAATTACCATTTTGGTAAGTTTACTTAGTTAACATATATAGGTGGACGGTTGCACCACTTGACATTTTTAGACTGAAGGCAAAAAGAAATTAAAATGAATTTTATATGGATGCACTGAAAAATATTTGACATAAAAGAGGTATTGTTGAATAATTTGATGTATGTTGTGTATTTATCAAATTATTTTTGGGAAAATAATGGACTTTAACAAAAAAATGCATATCATGTCAATGACCCACAGAAAAAAGGGCAATGACAGCTGGAAAAAATAATAAAACTGTTGCAAATATTTAAAGTGAGATATGGCACGTCAAAATACAAGCTGCTAATTTGGTTAACTAGTGGAGTACCTGAATCTTGGTTGTGTTTGAGTTGCTGTGTGTAACTGCCAAGTTGCATGTTAATTATGTTGCAGGGAACTCACAACATGCAGCTAGTTGCAAGAAAGTTTCGCTGTGCAAATGAATCATGTTAACAGTGTGAATATCATTCAGAAACAGTTTTGTTTAGGCCCTGCCCCCTTGAGTCTGAGGTTGCAGGGAACTCACAGCATACAGCTAGTTGCATGAAAGTTTCACTGTGCAAGCAAATAATTTTTACGGTGTGAATATCATTCAGAAAGAGCTTTGTTCCACAGAGTTGAGATGCTTGCAACTGTTGCATGTTGTGAGTTACCTGCAACCTCAGACTCTGGGGGGTGGGGCCTAACCAAAGCTCTGTCTGAATGACATTTACACTGTAAAAATGATTTGTTTAGACCCCGCCCCCTGAGTCTGAAGTTGCAGGGAACTCACAACATGCAGCTAGTTGCATAAATGTTTCACTCTGCAAACCCAGCCTTAGACTTAGTTTTGTTTGGCTGTTGCATGAAACTTGTTCCACTGAGTTTAGACAGTTGCAACTTTTGCGATTGAGTTTCAAATGAGTTGCAGGACACTTTGCATTAGGCTGTACTATAAAACTCAAGTGCAAGTTTCATGTAGGTTTCTAGCAACTAAAGTTGCATGAAAGTTTCGGGGTGTAAAGCCAGCCTAACATTGTGAAATTGAATGTGGCTGAATGGCCGACTTCAGATCGGTACGTTGTGATGCACTGTAAAGTATATATGTACACATGGAAAAGTGAATGAAACATAGTTTTCACTCCTTGTCGTTTCCAGCTGCGGTTTCTCTGTGACGGCAGATGCAGTTGAATTCTGAACGCCGTGGTTCTGAGTTTGTTTAATTATGAAACGCGGCTGCCGGTCAGAGCAGCCATGAAGAGTTTGTTCTGAATGAATTTAAGCTGTTAATGTTTAAAAGAAACAACAAAAACAAACAGGCCGGACCGCCCGCTGTGACGAGGCTGAGCTCAGCTTCACCAACACTTTCATGTCTTCTTTCTGAGCTTTGTTCTTCTGTTTTATCCCCCCCCCCCCTCTCTCTCTCTTTCCTGTTTATGTCTCTCTGTCTCTCTCATCTGCCTTGTTCTTTTTTTGTCTCTCTTGTTGTCTCTTCTCTGTCTCTTGCTTCTCTCTCTCTCTCTCTCTCTCTCTCTCATTTATATCATCTTCACTATATCTTGAACTTTCTCTGTCTCTCTCTCTCTTCCTTTCTCTTTATCTCTTCTCCATCCCTCTCTTCCTCTCTTTTCCCTTCAATCTCTCTTTCTTAAGGTCCCCCACCCTCTTTTTAAAGTTTCCCTTTCCACTTATTTCTTTGTTTCTCTCTCTCTCTCTCTCTCTCTCTCTCTCTCTCTCTCTCTCTCTCGGTCTCCCCACTCTGTCTCTCTCCTCTTGAACAGAATAGTAATCTCTCTCTTTTACAGCCTGTTTAAAGTGTAACAAATCATTTTAAATTGTCATTTTAAAGTGTAACAAATCATTTTAATGGTGTAAATTTTGTGCTGAGATCTAGATTTAATCAGAAATTGAACATTTAACATTATACAGCACTTTTACATTAAAACCTTAAATCAGGTCTTTAATCTTGTTTGTCCTTCGACCCACCACACAACAGCTTTTAGGCATATTTGCAATCGTAGTTTAAAACCAATAAAGAGAAGTGTGCAATGTAAACCAATGGAAAGTGTGGAAGTGTTTTCCCCCATGGTGTGGGTGTGGCCTAAATGTGCTACAAGCTATACACACTGAACTGTCATCATAAGACTGACTTCACCAAATTACCCCACACAGCCCAGCAGGATTTGTCCAGTGTGGCAGTTTAGAGGTGTTTGGCAGGTTTAGGCTGCAGTTTTAGACTTACTTTTAAACTTTTCCATGTGTCTGATATCAACATTAGTGTTTCAACTGCTTAGAATTCAGAGGATTCTGTGAAATTCTGGGGGATTAATTATGTACAACGAAACATTCCAGCTTTGGAACGTTTTAGTTTACTACAGCATGTGGTATTATTGATTTTTTAAGAATGCCATTCATTTTTCACATACGCACACTTTCTGAGCTGCTTACCTAAAGTCTATCCCAGTGCTCACTGGGTAGAAGGGAGGAAACACCCTGGACAGGTCACCAGTCAGACACACAGACATACACAATCTCATCTAGGGGTAATTTAGCATCTCCAATTCACCTGACTGTATGTTGGACATCCCGGTTGCCCGGCCGGGGAATCGAACCCAGGCCCTTCTGGCTGTGAGGTGACAGCGCATAGAGAAAACCAGCTTAGACCTGGTTTCCTTATATGGGCATGGGTGACGCACGACTTCAAAGGTCTATAAACACGAATGAACTCCAAAATCATGTTATTTCTCCTCCTTACAGACGCTGACTGTGTCCTGTAGGTCCAGACGTCCAGGTAAGACTGACTGTACCTTTCACACGCGCTTCTAATGAGTCATTAAACCTCAGTGTGAAACACAGCAGAAAGGCATTCTGCTGTCCAAGCATGATTTTAATGAGAATAGAGCACAAAGGTCTTCAAATAACAGCCACTGCAGCTAAACAGAGCTCAGTGTGTCTAACAGAGAACCACTCTGGATTCAGCCGTGTGAGCACAGTTCATACTGGACATAAAATATTTGAGTGTAAAAGCCGAAATTTCACATAGTCACTATATAGGGAGCGGTAAGTCGTTGAGATTCAGCCTCAGGATTTTCTGAGGTCTGATCTTATAGATGTTTAGTACTGACCATTAAAGGACTGGTTGTGTTGCAGTTTTCAGCTCTTTACCTACTTAAAAACTATAATAAAAAAAAAAATATATATATATATATATATCCATATATATATATATATCCATATATATATATATATATATATATATATCCATCCATCCATCATCTAAACCGCTTATCCTTCTGGGTCGCGGTGGGGTGCTGGAGCCTATCCCAGCTGTCATCGGGCGGAAGGCAGGATACACCCTGGACAGGTCACCAGTCCATCGCAGGGCATATATATATATATATATATATATATTGGTATATATATATATATATCAATCACTGACTGCCCAGACAAACAGCTTTTAAGTACAGTTTCCTCATATACATATTAGTAATAATTATTTTTATATTTCTCCCTGTCGTGTATTACGGTGATTATGGTTGTGCTTATACATCTGTAAATGTATATGTTCTAGTTACTCTCAGGACTATAAGAAGAGTGAATATCAGAGTGAATATGAACTCATATGAGTTTTATGATTTACACAGTGTGAGCTGAGAGGGAGAGTGTGTGTGTGAGTGTGAGTGTGTGGGGGGTTCGTTGGGTTTGCTGAGGTCACATGACGGAGGAGGTGAGAATTCGTGCTATTTTTATTTATCAGCTTTATTTATAACGGCACCGTGTGAGTGTAATGACTCTGTCTGGCCTGTGGGGGGCGTCTTTAGGCTGCTGATGAGCTGTGTGTAAACCCACTGTGTGTGTATGTGTGTGTGTTGGTGGAGGAGCTTCCACTCTAAAAATGCACAGACCCAGGTACTTTAAAGCGATAGTTTGAATCCCCCAAGACCCCACCAACTAACGTGGTGCTAACTGCAGGCCTCAGACTGCATTAAGGTTGGAAAAACCTCACAAAAAGTGTTTTTGGTTCATAAAACAACACAAATATTATAAATTAGGAGACAAATGTAACTTATGGGCTCTTTAAATATACTTCAATATAATCTGCAGATTGACCAGCTCACTGTGTGGAACTGTGAGCTCTGCTAATGTCCACAGCAGATGATGGTCAGTCTGATCTACACTAGACGAGGTCATCTCAGTGTTACTGAACACCACAAACATTCTGACTCATAACTAACACATCTGAACTTCTCTGTGATGAACATACAGAAATATCATCTTTACTGGGCTTAAACAGTCCTGAATTTAATATTATATATTATATATCATGGTAATAGTTCACTGGTTTTAATATCAGATATTAATATTATAATAGTTTACTGCCTTTAATATTATGTATTGATAATATAATAGTTCACTAATACTATAATAGTTCACTGCCTTTAATGTTATGTATGAATATTGTAATAATTCGCTGCCTCTAATATTATACAACCCATTTCCTGGGGTCATGGGACGCTGTGCAAAATGTAAACAAAAACAAAATGCAGTGATATGCAAATCATTCACCCTATATTTAATTGAAAATAGTACAAAGACAACAAATCACACACTGAAACTGAGAAATTTTATTGTTTTTTGAAAAATATTTGCCCATTTTTAATTTGATGCCAACAACACATTCCAAAAAAGTTGGGAAGGGGGAAACAAAAGGCTGGTAAAGTTGTGTTATGCTGAAAAAACACCTGGTGGTTGATTGGCAACTGGTCAGTAACATGATTGGGTATAAAGAGCATCTCAGAGAGTCTTTCAGAAGTAAAGATGAGGAGGGGTTCACCACTCTATGAAAGACTGCACCATCAAACAGTGCAACAATTCAAGAATAACGTTTCTCAAATAGCAAAGCATTTTAGCTTTTCATCATCTACAGTAAATAATATCATTAACAGATTCAGAGAATCTGGAGAAACCTCTGTATGTAAGGGACAAGGCCAAAACCAGTATTTGTTGGCCGTGATCTTTGGGCCCTCAGGCAGCACCACATTAAAAACAGACATGATTCTGTAGAGAAAATCACTGCATGGGCTCAGAAACACTTCTGAAAACCACTGTCTGTGAAAACAGTCTGCCGCTGCATCTACAAATGCAAGTTAAAACTCTAAAACACAAAGAAGAAACCAGATATAAACAGGATCCAGAAATGCTGCCACCTTCTCTGGGCCTGAGCTCATTTAAAATAGACTGAGGTGAAGTGGAAAAGTGTCCTGTGGTCTGACGAATCAACATTTGAAATTCTTTTTGGAAATCATGGACACTGTGTCCTCCACATCTGTGAAGGCACCATTAATGCTGAATGATATATACATGTTTTGGCAACATATGCTGCCATCCAGATGACATCTTCTTCAGGGAAGGCCTTGATTATTTCAGCAAGACAATGTAAAACTACATTCTGCATGTAATAGCATGGCTCCATAATAAAAGAGTCTGAGTGCTAAACTGACCTGCCTGCAGTCCAGACCTGTCACCACTGAAATGAGAAAACATTTCACTTTCAAAACTACAGCAGTGTCTCCTCAGTTCCCAAACACTTACAGAGTGCTGGTAAAAGAAGAGGTGATGAAACGCAGTGGTAAACAGGCCCCCGTCCCAACTTTTTTGGAACGTTTTGTTGGCATCACATTCAAAATGGGCAAATATTTTTTAAGAAGCAATAAAAATTCTCAGTTTCAACATTTAATATGTTGTCTTTGTAGTGTTTTCAGTTAATTATAGGGTTTAAATGATTTGCATATGATTACATTCTGTTTTCATTTACATTTTGCACAGCGTCCCAACTATTTTGGAGACAGGTTGGTGTAACAGTTCACTGCCTTTAATATTAATTATAATTTATTTAGTGCTACTTAGAAAATATCACAAACTGACCCTGTTAGGATTTTTTATCATCAGTGAGCCAAAAATGAATTACTGTGCAAAACCTCCACTTATTCTTCTGTTCGTTTCCTTTTACCTTCCTTTTTTCATTCTTTCTTTCTTTATATTCTTTTTTCTTTTCTTCTTTCTTTTTTCCATTTTTCATTCTTCCTTTCTTTTCATCTTTTTCCCCTTTCTTTTTCTTGAGTCCTCCTTTCTTTCTTTCTTTCTTTCTTCCTTCCTTCCTTTCTTTCTTCAATAATAATCTTTTTACTTTTTCTTGCTTTCCCTTTCTTCTTTTTTCTTGCATTCTTTCATTCTTCTTCACTTTTCTTTTTTTCCTTTCTTTCTTTTTTCTTTCTTTCTTTCTTTTCATATTCTTTTCTCTTTCTTTTCCTTCCTTTCCCTTTCTTATTTCTTTTTTCCATTTTTCATTCTTCCTTTCTTCTTCCATCTTTTCTTTTTCTCCTTTTTCCTTTTAATTTTCAATTTTCTTGAGTTATTTATTCCTTCTTCCTTCCTTCCTTTCTTTCTTTCTTTCTTTCTTTCTTTCTTTCTTTCTTTCTTTTTTCTTTCTTTCTATATTCAATTTCCTGTCTCTTTTTTCTTCCTTTCTTTTCTTCTTTCCATTTTTCTTTCTTCTCCTTTCTTTTTATTGTTTCATCCTTCCTTTTTATTTCTTTGTTCACTTTACTTTGTTTTACCTTTTCTTCCTTTCTGTTTAATCTTTTTTATTATTATGTTTTTCGTTCTTTTTTCTTCTTGCTTCCTTTCATCATTCTTTCCTTATTTTCTTGTTTCTTTCTTTTTCTGCATTCATTTTCTTTTTTCTTTCTTCCTTTATTTCTTGCTCCTCTTTCTTTCCTCTTTTCTTTTTTCATGCATCCTACTTTCTTTCTTACTTTCTTTCTTTCTCTCCTTTTTTCTTTGTCTCTTCTTTTCTTTAAATTTACGTCCTCCCGTTTTTTCGTCTTTTTTATTCCATTCTTTTCATTTTCTTACTTTTGCTTTATTTGATTTTCGTCCTTCCTCCTTCATGTCTGACCTTTTTAAGCCTCGTTAAATTCTGAACTCAGAAATCAGTTTAAACGCATCGAAATTAAACACAAAAAACGGAAAATAAACGACTAAAACAAAAACCTGGTCTCAGTTTCACAGCATTAAAGCTTCAACTGTGTAAAAAGGCTAAATAAACATTTTACTGTATTAAACTCCGGATCAGCGCCGTTTAAACGTGCCGAGCTCTTCGCCTACAAATCCCAGCGCAGCTCTCACTACACTTCCCATGATGCGCTGCGCGGAGAGCCGCCGGAGCTCAGCGTGTCTCAGGAAGACCGGAGTGAAAAAGTTAAAGGAGTTTAAGAAATGAGCCGAAAACGGGAGAAAAGGCTGAAGAGCGGGTAAGAGAGGGAGATGAGAGAGGAGTGCAGGAAGGAGGGAGGAGAAAACCGGGAGCGGAGAGAGGAGAGGAGGAGAAAAACAGCGCGAGACTTTCTTTCATTCAGCTCGGCTCTGGCTCTGCGGGAAGAATGGAAAAAGCGAGTGAGAGTGAGAGGAGGAGTGAAAAGAGGAGTGTGGCAGCGCAGCTGAGCGCCTGCAGAGCTTTATCAGTGCTCAGGAGAAAAAACACACCACACAAACACACTGCAGGTGAGTACACACACACACACACACACACACACACACACAGCTGATTTGGAGGGGGGCACAAACTTTTTCACAGCCCCAGCAGTGAGTGTTGAGAGAAAAAAGTCTGTAAAAAACATTTTCAGCCTTTTTTTGTAGCTGAAACTCTAAAGATCCACACGCTGCTGTGAGATAAGATGAACTTCCCTGCTGGTGACGTCCTGTATAATTAAAAATAATGCGTGGCCA